TCTGGTCACAATTCTCTCCCACTACTTGTTTTGTTGAAGGAGGCCAGTTATTTGTGCTTTTAGGCAACAGGGAAAAGAAAATGACTGAATATTAGAAGCTAAAACCTCATAGCTCTATCCTTATTCACATTACATATTGCATTAAATATTAAACACATTCATTAAATATACAAAGACAAGAATTGTGGTGATCTCAGGGAAGCAGGGTGCAACTAACTAACGTGCCCTTCCTGTTTAAAGCAGAGTTACCTTTACTGAAAAGGGTGTCATGCCCACTATTTGGACCAGGGTGCAGACAGTGTGGTGTGTAGACGGGGCGTGTGGACGCCACACAGGGGTGTCCAGCTGTTTCTGTGAGAAATCCCAGAGTATCTGGGGGGTCTGCACCTCTTTCCCCCAACGCAGCACACTGCAGGGGCTACAACAGAGAGAAAGCAGGGTCAGTACACAACTGATTACAGAGCAAATCCTGAAAACTAGAGCGTATGAATTAATACCTGAGTATCTGATGATCAGTGCGATGTACACCGGTCGAGCAGAGGCCATTCCAGGACAGTTGTCATGGCACTAACAGGTATCACGATGCTTACAGACCCCTCTGAGTCCCGGTGTTGGAATGTTCCTTGTGACCACAAGGGGGGCGCTGGGAGCAGCTGGGGTAGAGGGGTGTGGCTTCGTTGAGGTAGCATGGCGTGGAGGGTAGGCTTAGGGAGGAGAGCACCAGTTGCCAGTGGCAGTAAAGCTGGTTGCCAGAGAGGTGAGGCGGTTGCCAGGGAAGGGTGATGTGGTTGTCAGGGAGGCGAGGGAGGACACACAGGAAGCAAGGGACCTCTGCTCAGATCCCTCGGCCTTCCTGACAGCCTACTCCCATCCCCCTCCCCCAGGGGCTGCCCAGGAAAATTTGGCCCAGACCAGATTGATGTTCCTGGAAGGAGGGAGAGAGAGAAAAGGGGGTTTATTGGAGACGACAGACGGTCACTCCGTTGATTCAGGGCTTATGAACAGAACAACCGTTTCAGAATGCAAGGTGATGGACTGTGGCTAAATTCACTGAATTAAACTACACTGAGCTGCCTGGGCTCTTTTGGTGACTTGCTGCACCTTTGAAGTACAGAACATAGATCATATATCCTTCCATTTTCCAACTGCTTCTTGCAATTCAGGGTCGGTGTGGAGTCGGAGCCTAACCCAGCAGCTATGTGAGCAAGGCAGGATGCACCCTGGACAGGATGCCAGTCCATCACAGGACACGCACAGACACAGACACACCAGGGCCAGTTTTACCAGAAGCCAATTAACCAGAATTTCTTTGTACTATGGAAGGAAACTAATGCAAACGAGGGGGGACATTCAAACTCCACACAGATACCACCCCAGGCCGGGCTCCAGCACTGCAAGGCAGAAATACTAACCGCTGTACTACTGTGCTGCCCATCAATCATACCGTTCATTTAAATGTCAAGTCTTAATGCAATGATGGACATTCTCAACCAGCTCAAACAGATCTCACAGATCAGTACTACAGGGGACGAAGGTATCGAAAGCTGGATCTGGCGCCATCTGCTGGAGCAGCACAGAGTGGGCAGCCCGACAGTGAGACTGGAATCTGAACCAGTCCGTGAGTCTCAACACAGCAGTGTTGGTACAGGACAGCAATCCCAGCATGCACATTGAGTGCTACTCACTTCTGGGCCCCTGTCCAGCACTTCATCCAGTCTGGAAGAGAGAGAGGCACAGGAAAGGGGAGAAATAATAACAATTATTAGAGGTGTGTACAGGTGTTCGAGAATTTCTTGATCATTCCAACTGAATCTTGATTATTCCCAGCTTCAACCAGCACAGTACAGATAGTGGCTCAACCACTGTCTCAAGATGAATATCTACTGGCGTTTTTAAAATTTTGCATTTGGTTTATAGACACGGTGGAGACAAACACGCGCACACCTGGGCCGAGCCACACCCCCTACTCCATCCAGGGGTGGAGCAGGATCTGCTCCAGGGTTGGCCGTTTCTCAGGTTTCACACTCAGGCACCAGCGAATCAGGTTGCGGCAGCCTGCCCAGAAGAAG